TACAATTGGGTGTGGTGGGTGTGGAAAAACGAGTATACGCCAAGTAGATGGAGGGAAGAAGTGGTTGTGAAAAAAGGAGACAAGACTGACCCAGGAAACTACAGGGGGGATCACACTGTTGAACACAGTGGGAAAAGTGTTCTGTGAGCTGCTGAACGATAGGATAGTGGGAGTATTGGAGAAGGAACATAGCATTAGTGAGGGCCAGGCAGGTTTCCGCAAGAAGAGGGGGTGCGTAGACCACGTGTTCACGGTAGGGAGAATCATCCAAGGTAGAAAGAGGGCGAGAAAGCCGACGCACTGCTTCTTCCTGGAAATGAAAAAGGCATACGACACCGTATGGAGAAATGGGTTGTGGAAACAACTGTCCAAATACGGGATCAAGGGGAAAATGTGGAGAGTGCTGAAGAAGATGACAAGAGTGCACGAAAAGCGTGGTCATGTTAAACGGACAACTGTCAAAATTCTTCGACATTGAGCAGGGGGTCCCACAAGGTTGCACGCTGTCCCCAACATTGTTCCAGGTGTTCATCAACGATCTGTTGGAAGTCGTAGAGGCAGTCCGGATAANTCAAAATTCTTCGACATTGAGCAGGGGGTCCCACAAGGTTCCACGCTGTCTCCAACATTGTTCCAAGTCTTCTTCAACGATCTGTTGGAAGTCGTAGAGGCAGTCCGGAAGGGAGTAAAAGTAGGGGACACGGAAACGTCGGTTTCAGGAATGCTGTTTGCGGATGATTTTGTCGGTATGTCGGACACCCCTGAGGGACTGCAACTGCAAATTGACGCGGCGAAGAAGTTTACTGATAAGTGGAGATTGTCTGCCAACGTTCAGAAGAGTGCCGTCATGGTATGCAACGAGAACAAGGAGGAACCAGTAGAACATAGATGGAAGTGGGGGATCGAGGAGATTGCAGTAGTGGACCAGTACACATACCTCGGAGTAGAGATCGCAAAAGACTGCTCGTGGAATGCACACATGTCCAAGGTAGCGGAAAAGGGCAAAGCACGAGCAGGGAAGCTGCACCCAATAGTCGCGAACCGGCACCTCGATACATGCATCAATTTGACGGTTTTCACGAGCGTAATCGTACCGCCGCTAGAGTACGCCGGAGAAGTATGGGAAGGAAATAAGAAGGTAGTGAAAGAACTCGAGGCGGCGCAGATGAAAGCAGCGAAAACCATCCTAGGATGCTCCAGGCGCACAAGTAATGCAGCCGTGAGGGCAGAATTGGGGATCCAATCCCTACGGTCGGGAAGAGACGCGAGGAAGCTGACCTGGCAGTATCGCATGTGCGGGATGGGAGAGGAGAGGTTGCCGAGAATTGTATGGGAGGCGAAGTGGGCAAACAAAAAGAGGGGTAGACAACCCACGGAATGGGTCAAGGTTGTAGAGGACGTATGGAAGGGGCTCGACATCGGCGAAGATGAAACGCTGGAAACGGAGGGTCTACAGGGGTTCAAGGAGAAGATATCTGTTGCTTGTGCCGAGAGAGAAGAACAGAATCTGAGGAAAGAATCCAAGGATAAGGAGGGTCTAGAAGTGTACGGAATGTTGAAGGAAGGAATAGGGTTCAAGGACTATCTACATGGACCAATGGATGCAGGGACAAAGCTAAAGGCCAAATTCAGGGCCGGGGACATAGGCCTTCGAGAACGTCGACGAAGACATAGGACGGTAGACGAGGAAGACGACGAGTTCAAATGTGATTGCGGCTTCAAATGCGAAGACCGTGTCTCATTTAGTCGCGGAATGTCCGTGGTACAAGGAGAGGGAAGTTTACGGGTGA